AAAAAAAAAAAAAAAAAAAAAAAAAAAAAAAAAAAAAAGTATAAATGGATGGAGATGTAGCTCAGTGTGTGGAGGCTCTGGGTTGAATTCTTAGAGCAGGGGGGGAAAAAAAAAAAGGCTGGTTACTGCCCTGTGCCTTATTCTCCTCATCTGTGAGCCGAGATGGGTCTTAGGAAACCTGCCTTAGCCGTCTTAGGAAACCTGCCTTAGCCGTTTTAGAAGACATGAGCGATTATGTAGGTGAAAATTCTTCCCAAAGTATGAAGTACCAGAATGGGGCATTAGATACCATGACGCTATAATAAAAAATAAATTAAAACCACATGAAATTCAATTTTATGGGTCGGGAAGAGTGAATGCAGACAATTATATGGCTCATTCTGACGAAGCACTCACGGAGCTTCCCGGGGGTTCTGGGAGCCTCACGCGTCCTAACTAACCCACTTCCAGACCAGACTCTCTCCAGGCCAGAGCTTACCAGCCCCTTCCTCTTACCCACGGAGAAACACAGGCCGCGGACCATAGGCCCGCCTGCCCGGAGGCCACACCCCGGGGCGGGAGAGCAGGTCCCAGCGCCACAGCGGTGGTGGGGAGACTTACGCCAGGGTCTCCATGCGCGGGCACCTCTGCAGGCTGGCGGCCAGCTGTTGGGCGCCCACGGCCGTGAACTTGTTGTACTGGACGCTGGGGAGAGAAACTCGCTGAGGCCTGGCGCTGGGGATCCGCCCATCGCCAGACCAAGGCCTTCCCATGATGCCAGTGGGAGATGCCCCCCTGCTGCCCGGATTCTGCCCACACTCACTCTATCACCCGCAGGGACCCCATCTCAGGCAGCGCACGCGCCAGGCTCTCGGCGCCCACATCGCAGATGCAGTTGTTGTACAAGCTGCCGGAGATAGAGGCCAGGGAAGGGTTTTGGGGTGCTGGGAGAAGGGCCAGGGTCCCCTAGAATCCACACTTAACTGAGATTGCTGTCCCATTTTATAGAGGGGCAAACTGAGGCCCTGAGAGTTGAGGCCGCTTCCCTGTGGTCACTCAGAGGGTTCAGAGGAGCAGCAGGACTGCAAGGGAGTCACTTCTTGGCGGAGAGTGGAAACTCAGGAGAAATGATTTCTGGGGTTCACATCCTAGCTGTGCCTCCTGCGTGCTGTGAAACCCTGGACAAGTTCATCTGACCAATGGCCACAGTCACACTATGGGGAAGGGCAATCGTTCCTGCTGGTAGGTGAACTGTTAGCTTGGGTTACGACTGTCATGGCATGACTGTCACCCTCGCTGAGTGCCTGTAAAAGGTGTGACCAGCATTGGTGGCAGGAAGAGAAAAACCAGCACAGCAGTTACTGCTGATGCCAACCTCCACAGAGCTGGGCACCAAGCACCCTTTCCGCATCCTGCCTCCTCTCTGCAGGCAGCCAGGGTCCTTGCATTTCTCTGAGGTCAAGATGCCCAAGCCCACATTTGAATCTCACTGAGATCAGAGTGTGACCTTTGACCAAGAGTGTCGCAGTTTAACCAACGGCATTTCATCTTTCTAACCATGTCTTTGTGTGGATGGCACTCTAGTCTATGAAATATGATCCCCCCCCCTTTTCCCTTGTTTGTGGTGCTGGAATAGAACCTAGGACCTCACACATGCCAGACAAGTGCTCCACCACTGAGCCTGATAATTCTTAAAGTGCACCTTAGATCAGACATCACTTTCACATGCCCCTCCTATTTTTCATTCACCCGACAAAAGCCAGGAATACCTCTGCCTAATCTGTAAGCCCCTCACCCTGCCCAATCTGGGCTTTAATGACCTCATCTGTCCTTCATCCTTTCTGCCCACCTCTCTCACCTCAGGGCCTTTGCACCTGCTTCTCCTCTTGCTGCAGTGCTTTTCCCTCACAGCTTCCCAGAGGAAGTTGGTCACTTCCTCCAGCTGCCCTGACCACCCCAGTGAACTGGGCAGTCTTCTTTATTGCACACTCTCAGGCTGTGTGAGTTTCTTTCCAGCATAAATCACTATATCAAAATACTTTATGTCTGTGCTTGCTAACTGGGCAAAAAACTTGAAAGCAAGAACATGCTTCTTGTTCATAGCTGTATCTCTACTTCCTAGTACAGGTCCCAGCTCATGTTCATGTTATAGGATGTCAGATGCCTGGAACAGCTCTAGGGGGTAAGCACAGCTCACACAGACTGAGTTGTATAGTACACGACCTGTGCAGCTGCACCCTGTGGTCCCGGCTGGAAGGACATGCACAGAGACGGACCAGATGCCACTTTTCCTGGAGTCTGACTCGAGCTGTCTTCAGCAAGTTACAAGGGCTGGGACGGGAAGGGACGTTCCTCCCAGGCTGGGGAGTTAGGAGAGCTAGGGATGTGAGGCCAAATGGCTCCTCTTCCTGCTCTACTCTGGTACCGCACTAGACTGGAAGGTATTGCCTGTCATTCCGAGGATGACCAGGAGGTGGCAGTGTAAGCACGGGCTAGTATGTGATTCCTCCAACGGAAGAGGGGGGGACGCTACCTCCTCCTGCAGAGGCAGGCCTTGCACCCAGCGCTTTACAGAGGCCACCAGGGTAGTTCCTATTTCAGATGAGAAACCAGCGCCTCGGGACCAGATGGCGATCTGCCCAGATTTCCTCCCCTGGGTCCTGCTTATCTTCTCGCTCGGGGAGGTAATGACACCCGGATCAAGGAGCTGTGTCCAAAGGGATTCTGCAGACACCACTCTCCCTCCACCCGTTTTCAGGGCCTATAGCGACTGCTTCCAGAGTCCTGGGGTCAGCTGCCCGAGAGGCTCCCTGGCCTCCCCAGCCCACCTGCTCAGTGCAGAAACCCTACTCACCTGAGCCTGAGAAGGGACGCAGAGAGCGAGGGCAAGGCCTCCGCAAGCTTGCAGGCACCGGTGTCCGTGATGCTGTTCTGGGACAGGCTGCGGGGACACAGCGAGGGGGAGCTCGGGACCCCATCTCCAGGCCCCGCCCCCGCCAGCGTCCATCCGTCTGGGCCCCACTTGGAACCCCACAGGGCAGCCTGTGCTGCAAAGGAGGACAGTCCAACCACGGCCAGTCACAGGTAATGAACTGCGATGGTGCCTTGGGTAAACCGACACGAACTACTGACGAAGGAGTCCTCCCAGAGTAGGAGGGCGGGGTGAGCTGTAGGGGGCTCCCCTCCTCCACCTATTTATGATTTTATAACGTCCTCCCTACTCCCTCTGGACAACTCATCAGCACTGTAATTAAATGATTTGTTTCTTTGATTGTCTGTGTGATTGGTTTAATTAGGTAGGTGGTGGGCTCTGCAGAGAGTAGGGCTGTGGATGTTTTGGTCATGATTATGTCCTTGTAGCTATAGCAGTACTGAGCACATAGAAGGTGCTTGATAAATTCTTAAGGGCAAAGGGACAGAGGGGAGAGAGGGGAAGGAGGACTTAGGGGAGGAAATCTAGTTACAATGTTACTTAAATCACTATAAACTACTGGGGAACGCTCAGTACTTTGCAATCAAAGAATCAGCTAAGCGAATTCTGGTGAAATATTTGGCCATTCCACTCAATTATGAGGGGCAATGTGGAAAGATTTTATAATCTCTATTCAGTAAAAAAGAAAAAGAAACAAAACAAGGAAAGGTCAGTCAATCTGCATTTATCCATTTCCAACTTTCCAGAATCCCAAATAGTTTTTTTAAAGTTGTCATTTTGACAATAAGGTTTTCCCAATGCATCCTAACATTTCTATTTCAACCCCCAATATAATCTTCTGTCATTAAACTCCGCTTTTATTCCTGCATCCTTTGTAATTGCAGATTTATTTATTCATCTGCTTCTGGTTTATTGTGTCTCCTTACTAGAATCTAAGGCCCTTGTGGTCAGGAGATTTGTTAGTCCCATTTGAAGCTGCACCTTCAGGGCCTACAATGGTGCCTGGGATCGAGGAGATTCCTTAAATATTTGTTGATTAAGTCAGTAAATCTCTGGATGAGTGGATGATTGGATAAAAAAATGACTGGATGAATAATAGCAGAATGGATAAAGAACTCACGGACCGGGTGAATCAGTGCATGAGGCACAGAGTGGAGTGTGGTTGAGCGGGGCACAAAGGGCTGAATGGTTGAATGGAGCACAGGAAGTGGCAGGAGGAGCCGCTAGACTTCAGAACAGTGGGGAGGGCAGGCCCTGCCACTCACTTGAGTGTCTCCAGTGCCTTCAGCTGAGGGAAGGTGGCTGCGAGCTCCAAGACACCCTTGTCCCCAATCTTGTTCTCGCTCAGCGAGTCCAGGCTGCAGGTGGAATCAGATGGAGGCCGTCAGCCAGTGTCTTCCTCCCTCCCCCTCCGCGTCCCCAGCCCTGGATGTGCCACCACCACAGTGAGCAGACAGCCACCCTGCGCTGTGAGAGGCCACCGTCAGCACCCGGGGCCTGCCAGGCGACCCCGTGGGACTTCCCACAGACCAGAACCCATTTTGCTTCTTAGGACCCCCTCAGGTTTGAATGGCTTCCCTTCAGCTCTTGGAAGCTCGATTACAAAATGGGATTCGCCCCCATGGCCTCCCCAGTGGGGCTGATAAGAGAGCAAGTCAGGTGAGGCCGCGCAGGAAAGTTGTTTCAAAGGTCACGAAGGATTCCACGCTGTCTATTCCTGGGGATCCCCATCTGCTGTCCCTTCCCTGCGGCAGACTCACTTCCTGGATGGGAAGGTGTCCTTTGCATGTGCCCTGGGGACAGGACAGGCTCTGAGGCTGTCAGGGCCACAGTGGAGGGGAGGCCCCGGGGACATACTTACTCCAGATGCTGAAGGGAAGAAAAGGCTGGCAGGATCCTTGCCAGTTTGGGGAAAGCCTGGGGGCCCAAAGTGGGGCCTAGCCTAGGGACAGAGGACAGGGTCAGCCAGGACGCCCCAGGCCTCAAGTCAGCCCTGGGAGGCAGACGCGGGGCCCAGAAGCCAGAGCTCTTCACTCCTCACAGCCTCCCAGCTGGCCCTCCACGCCCTCTGCTTGGGCAGACCTCACAATGCCCCTGAGAGGCCAGGCGGTTCCTAGCTTTCATCTCTGACTGGGGAGCCCGTTCTCACTTTTGCTGACATCTGCACACACTCACCCTTCTCCCACCACAGCCTAGCAATGGAGGCCCCAAACACTAGCCAAGGATCACCAGCAACAGCATACCCCGCAGCTTACTTATTGTCTGCATTCAAGAACAAAAAGAACCTTTTGGGGGGGGGCTCTGATTATATGCCAGGCCTATGTTGGGTCCTTCAGTCAACTTGAATCATATTTAATCTCCATGACTCTGAGCGAAGGGCTCCTCTTCCACATTTCACATATGGGAAAATGGAGGCACAGAGACGTTAAGTAACTCACTCAGGCTCACACAGCCTAGACTGACATTTAGACTACACAGACTTCAAGGGAATGAAAAAAAAAAATAAGGACAATGAAGGGCTGTATTGTTTTGTTTTTAATCATTCAGGACTGGGGATTTGGCTCAGTGGTTCTGCCACCTGCCTTGCAAGCATAAGGTCCTGAGTTCAATCCCTGGTACCAAAAAACAAACAAATAATTAATGAATTAATTAAAAACAAATAAATAAAAATAATCATTGAATGTATTCAATGTAAGGGACTGTCTTTCCTACTGAAATTAAATCCCTTGAACTTTTTTGATATTAAAATGATCAGCTTTTGATAAAACCATGCCATGAAAAGTGATCGGTTGCTATTTGCTTACATGAACATCCTTGATGAAAATTAAAGCGCGGTTCCTGGGTGTGGTCACTTACAACCACTCTGAAATGATCTCCTCTCAGAAATCCCAAAGTCTGGGACCCACGAGCCCCCGGGAGGGCCCCAGCATGGGAGCGGGGTGTCAGGGTCTGCACTCGGCTGTGTGCCTGGGCCTCCTCCAACGCGCAGCCCCAACCTCAGGAGGTGGCAGGAAGGGTTAGGGAATCCCTTACCCAGTACTTGCTGCGTATCTGCTTTTGCCAGGCCCAGGGCTAAAGTCATGAGCAAACTGGATGAGCCTGTCTGCCTTGGGGGAGCTGGCATTCCAGGAGGGGACCGATAATCAAAGGAGTCAGCGCGCTATCCGGAATGAGAGACAGTAACTGAGAGACAGATGCGGCAGTGAGGGCTGCGATGTTATTTTTAAAAGGAGGGTCAGAAAAGGCCTCACACTCAGAAGTAGGAGGGTCCTGAAATAAATAGGAGGATCAGAAAAGATCAGACAGAAGCCAGCCTGTGGGCTGTGCAGGCCCCCGAGGAGGAACAGTCAGGAAAGGGGCTGGCAGGGCAGAGGCCCGAGGCCGGATCTTGCCCAGTGAAGCTGAAAACTCACTGGAGGGGCACATGGTGGAGGGGAGGGAGCCAGATGGGCCCAGGGGGTAACCGTGGGTGAGGAGGTAGCGAGTGAGCACAGTCACTGCGGGGCTTTGAGCAGCCTGATGTGACAGGAAAAGGAGGCAGACAGGTGCCCCACTCAGCAGTGGCCAGAGCGGACACCCAAAATCATCCTTTCTTCTTTCACTCCTTGTTTCCTGAGAACACTTTTGGGGCTTCCGGTCTCCAGGTGGTCGTGCACCCGCGGCCAGGCCGTTCCACCCCATGATTGCCGTTCCCCGGAGTGCTGTTCCCACCCTGAACTAGGGGCTTTTGAAGCTGAAAATAAATCATGCCAGAAAGAGCTCGTGGTGGCCGTCTTCAGACATTTCCTCTTTTAGGCAATATTTTTACCTCTGCACAAATTTGGCACCTCGTCTTTCATTCAAAACAAGAAGTGCCTGGCTTTTGCTGGGGCTGAGCGGGGCAGTGATTAGGGGATCTGACAGCTTGCAGGCGTCACAAACCTTGCTGGTTAAGTCACATAACCTCACTGGGCCTCAGTTTCATCTGTCAAATGGTAAGTGTGATAAGCACCTCCCAGAGCAGCCCTTGTGATGAATGAGATTTATATATATATATGTACGTGGGATGCCCCGAATCCTCCGTTGGTGCTGAAGGATTCCTTGTTAATTCTTAGATGATCTCAGATACCTACCAAGGACCAAATACTCCTTGTTCTTTGGTTGGAGCTCAGAACCAAGCTGACCTGACTCTTACGACTTTGGAGAAGCAATTTAAACTCTCTGGACCCTGGTGTTCCCATCTATACAATGGGGAGATGATAACAAGGCCCCCCCCAGAGGAGAATCACCTGGGATACTGGGGGAAAGTGCTTTGCCAATCGAAAGCGAGATTCTGACAGATGGATGGAAACACAAGAATTACTGTGGCTCCTCCCAGGGCTGGGGGGCTGCCCCGTGTCATGACTAGGGGCCAGGTCTACTTCCGTCCTATCCCCCCGGGCAGTATGGTGGCTCCCAGGCCTCGCTGTACACAGCGTGACCCACTGCCCCAGTGTGCCCGAGTCCAGGGGCTTTGCCAGGACACCGAACTCGCAGCGTTAAAACCAGGCCAGCCCCAGGCGAACTGAGTCTGTGTCTGTGAGGATGCCAGCAAGCAGTCAGGGCTGGCACCACTGCCGGGAGAAGGGGAGAAGCCTGGGCTGCTATGGGTGGTGGCCAGGGCTGAGCATCCCCGGGAGTCTGGCTCGTGGCCGAGGGAGAGAGTCCACTCAGCAGCACAGGGCACGTGGTGGCATCTCCCCTGGAGGGCACGGGCTGGGGCACAATGGGTCCTTCTGCCCCTGCACTCGATCTTAGCCAAAAGGCCAAGCAGTGATTCCTTCTGCCCCTGGCTGAGTCAGGATTCCCGCAAGCCCCTTGTCTCCCTGGCACGGCCCGCCCACCTGACTCAGTCCTAGTCTTTGGTCAAATTTGAGTGCAGGCATTGCCTCCCCCAGGAAGCCCTCCAAGCCCCCGCAGAGGGAAATCACTACGTCAGGCCTTCCAGGACCGAAGGAAGCCTCGCCATTCAAGTGTAGGGAATGGGAACAAGCAAGGTAACCAGCAAGTAGGTGGGTTACCAGTGAATCTCAGGAGCCCACTGCAGCACTTGCCCACGCTGGCCAGAAGCTGGTTCCTAAGGTGGTGGGTGTCGGGGGAAGAACTGTCCCAGGCTCCCCTGTTCCCGTGGCTTTCCCAAGGTCAGTGAATGCCAAAGAGGAAACTTGGGCTCCTGAACTCTGTGCACCATCACTTACGCGAACTCCAGCTTCTTCAGGTCGCGGACAGCGGGGAGCTCCCAGACTGTGTCTTCGGAGGAACTTCTCAGCCTGGAGGGAACAGGCCACGCTAAGGGGAGCAGGCCCTAGGTCCCCGGGGCGGCCCTGCCTGTGTGCCCCTGGATGGCTGCCCCAGCGCCCCACGTTCCCTGGGGCTGGGGATGTGGCTCTGTGATGGAGTGCGTGCCTAGCACATGCAGGGCCCAGGCTTCCATCCAGCACTGGCACAGAGAAAGCAGGAAAACACAGGAGTGTTTCATGGAAAATAGGCTCAGAGCAGGCCCTTCATGGCACCCAGCCCACGCAGCACACAGCGGGCGCTCAGGGAGTGAGACAGTGAACTTGCTGTATGGCCAGGTTGTCTCTGCCCTCCGCTGCCATCTCTAAGATGCGGACGACCCTGGTCCTGGGGGCCTCGGAGGGTGGCCACATGTGTCCCTAGATGCCGAAGGCATCCTTGTCAACTCCTGGCAGAAGAGTTTCTCCGTGGCTTTAGGTGAGAAAGAGTTGGGTACATGGTGGCACGTTTTGAACAGAGCAGTGTCACACTGTGGGGCTGGGCCTGGGGCGACTGCAGGACCTGCCACCCCGTCCCGCTTACCTCTGGGTCTGCACGACGTTGCCCAGGTCTACCACATCCTTCAGGGACTTGGCCTTAAATGGCTCGATGGTGAACTTCTCCTCTGCTGCCTGGAGTAGCTGGGTTTCCCCGCGCTGCTGCAGCGACCCCCAGAGCCCCACGGTGTCACTCAAGGCAGCCCTGTGGAGGGAGGGTCTCAGACCCAGGCACAGAGACCGGGCTAGACCGCAATGGAGGGGTGGGCAGCTCCGTGAAGCCATCTCCTACCTACTCAGATACTTTCCATCCTTAGCTCAGCCGCCACCTCCTCCAGGAAGCTGTCTGCGGCCACTGTAGCCTTTACTGATTCCTCCCTTCTTGCAACTCTCACTCTGGTTTTATTTCCCTTTTTGGCTTTGGCTACCAGGAAGCTCATTGTTAAGTGCTGAGCACAATGGTGTCAGACCTCAGAGCTTAGGTAAAATGTTTAGGAGAAACAGGAGAGCGGCTCTCTGGAGATTAAAGTGCTAAAGCCGATCCATCGTAGGACTTAAAAAGAGCCCAGCGAAGGAGCATAGACTTCATTCTGAGGGCAGAGGTGTGATGTGATCAAATTCAGGTTCTAGAAAGACTGCTCTGGGAGCTGAACATAAAGTGGGATAGAAAAGGTGAGAAGGGAGGTAGACAGGTCACGGGGAGGCTGTGGCTTTGAGCATGAGAAAACACATCCTTGATTGGGGATGGAGGAGAGAAAACAAAGTTGGGCCCAGGTCACAGGGTGGGCCTTCAGATATGTGCTGGAGGAAGAACATTGCCCTCCACTGGCTGTGTGGCTCTGGGTAAGCAGCTGCCCTTCTCTGAGCCTCGGCATGGCAGGGATCCATTCACCCGCCTGCCACTGTGCATGTCAAGTGAGATCACACAGAGCGACCGTCCACGCCAGCAGAAGGAGCCCTTCCTGCACCTGCCCCCACCTGAAATGGGTGACGCAGCTGAGTCCCACGAGGCTCCCGAGGCCCGAGGGGTCAATGCCTGTGCTGCGGAGGTCCAGGGAGAAGTCTTGGTCGGCCGCCTGCAAGGCCTTGCCCAGCACATGGGCATCAGGTGGCGTGAGCCGTGTGCCCAGGAAGGAGAGGCACGCAGGCAGCTGCCGTACCACATGCGTCCAGATCCCAGCCTCGTGGGCCTCATGGGCACAGTGCAGCAGCTCCAGCAGCCGCCCGGCCTGCAGCAACCCGGGCTGCAGGCGCTTCAGGTATCTGGTGAGTACCTTCTGCTTCCTGTCTGCCGAGGCAGCTGCTGCACACCCAACCAGTGCTCCCAGGCAGCGGGCTCGCGGCTGGAAAACCAGTCCAGCCAGAAAGCGTGGCACAGCCTCCATCCAGTTGTCATAGGGCCTCTTTTTCCTTGGGGTCAGTGCTAAAAACTGCGGCAGCTCCTTGTCCTTGATTTCGCTGCTCAGAGCCAGCCACAGGGCCCCCAGGAAGCACTGCAGGAGGAAGCTGGAGAAGGCCAGCTCGGCCTGGGCAGCCCGCGGGACCTGCTGTGCAACGGGTTGCACTAAGCCTTTGGTCACAGCCCAGGTCCTCACCTGCTCCGACGGGAACTGGCCCTCCCGCAGAGTGCTTTGGTGATTGCGGCCCAGCTCCCAGGCCAGCTTGGCCAGCCCTGCCAGGGCCCCGGGGGGACTGTCCTGGGCCACCGGGGCAAGCAGGCCAACATAGAGGCCTGTGAGTGTGGAGGGCAGCTCAGCCTGTGCCCCTCGCTGCAGCAAGGTCTCCAAGAGCTGGCACACTGCCCGGCACAGAGTGGGGCTGTGGCTGTGACTGAGGAGAAACGGCTGGTCCTGAAGGAGCGTTAGAGCTCGCTCTTGGTGCTCCGAGCCCTCGAAGTAGCGCCTTACGTATGTCTGGGCCTGTTCAGTGGAGAAGCCGGCCACCTCGAACAGGGCATCGGCCTTGCCCAGGACCTGGGCCAGGCGCCCACGAGGCTGGGCTGTGAGGAGCAGGGTGCAGCCTCGCATCAGCCTGCGCTGAAGGAGCCCGGCCAGCAGCCCCCGGAGGGAGCAGGGCTCTGCGCATGCAGGCCCGCCAGCACCTGCACCCACCTGAAATGGGTGCAGGAAGCCGTCCTGAGCTTCCAGTTCCTCAAAGGCATCCAGAATGAGCAGGATGCGGTCGGGCCTCCTGGAGATGTGGCCGAAGACTTCGTCGTCCATGGCCAGTGGCTGCAGGCCGGGGGAGCAGAGCAGATCCTGCAGGCGGTAGGTGTCCCCTGGGCGGTCCAAGCAGTAGCAGGGCACGTAGAAGACAAAGTCGTACTGCGGAAGCTGCCCATGGGCCCAGGCCCGACCCACTGCCCGAGCCCAATGGCTCTTCCCTTGCCCAGCCTTGCCCAGCACGGCAATCACTCGGGTCTCTCGTGGTCGCCGGTGGTCGCTGGGAGCCAGCAGCACCTCGGCCAGCCCCCCACTGGCCAGCTGGCGCTCGGCCCAGTCCACGGTGGCCAGCTCCCTCTCCTGGCTCTTGTGGCTGCCCTTCTCCAGCCGGGCTCTCAGCAGCTCCACCTCCACTGTTATGTCCTCTGGGCCTGCGGGCTCCGCCTGATGCCAGTCCTGCAGCGAGTGGTGGAACTGCCTCACCGTCTCTGCAAAGGCAAGACCATGTTGGGCTGCGTCCGGCTGGGGATGCAGGCGGCTGGACGGGCCTCCCTCCCCAGCTCCTCCATCGCCCACTGGCTTCATCGACTGCCTCGTCCGTCCCCAGACACTGTCCGGTTTCCCTCCCACACCCACTCTCCTTCTCACTAGTTTGCCTATTAATTCTTTTATCCCCATCCTTTTTTTTCCTTGTAGCACCAGGGATGGAACCCAGGGTCTTCCCACTGAGCTACATTCCTAGCCCTTTTTCTTTTCTTTTTTTGCCCTTTTTACTTATTATGAGACAGGCTCTCACTAAGTCACTAAGGTGTCCAGGCTGGGCCGGAATTTGTGATCCTCCTGCCTCAGCCTCCCAAGTGCTAGGATTACAGGCGTGCGCCACCATGCCCGGCCTTACTCCTTTACTCCCACCTTCCATTACCCACACCTACTAGCGTCTTGCTTTCTCCACGCTCTCCATTAGCCGCTCTCCCCAAGGCACCCTCTCAGCCTTGCAGGTGAGCTGGCTACATCCACACCAGGTGGCCCTTGGGGACCGGGGCTTATTGAAGGACAGGTCTTCAGCGGTGCATGTGAGAGATGCGAATCAATGAATGCGAAGGTGATGCTCAAAGGACTGAATAAGCAGTGTGTGAGTAAACTGAAGCCAGACAGGGGCTCTGTGTCCGCGGCCCAGGACAGGGGGACCCGGCTGCCACTCACCAGGCCATTTGGGAAGCTGGATGGTGTCCTCTGCAGCTGCCTGGCATGGGGAAGGGGATGTTTCGACCTCTGCAGATGGAGAAACCAGGGACGAGTTAGGGTCTAGGAGCCCCAGGGACATCTCTCCTCTGGGCCACCCAGTCCTCAGATCCTGAGGGCAAAGCTCACACAGGATAAAGCGCAAAACCCCGAGTCCCCCAAGCCAAGGTTGTAAGGTGGTGACCTGAGCTGTACTGGTGTTTATTTATTTTTGAGACAGGGTCTCATTATTCTAGGCTGGCCTTGAACTCACAGTGATCCTCCTGCTTCAGCCTCCAGAGTGCTGAGATTACAGGCGTGCGCCACCATGCCCAGCTTGTCCTTTTGGGCCTTTAGTTTGGGTTTTTGTTTTGCCAGCTGTACTCTTAAATTCCTCATCGACATTTTAAAAATCATGGTATCTATGTAAAAATCGGAGTTCTAGATTCTAGAGGCCTGGCCACCTGCTCTGCTTTCTTGTCAGGAACAAGCAGCTGGAGGCTGACGGCCCTGCTTGGGTGGGACATGGGTTCCGCAGCCGCCACCTGCCCTCAGCTGCACCCTTGACTATCTTTAGACCCTCCTCCTGACCTGTTGAACTCATGCCTGTCCCCACAGTGGCTCTGACCATGGCCCTTGTCCTGCCTCCAGGGCCGCGCACAGCCCCCAGCAGTCTTCACCTGTCACGTCTGTGCGGGAGGTCAGGGCCGGCTCGGGCATGCTGGGCAAGTCAGCTGCAGAGGGAGCGAAGGGGCTGGTGGAGCCAGGCCGGCCTGGGGACTTCGGGAGGCTGTGGACAGCAGGGCTGCTGGAAGGGAGATTGTGGCTGGCCTGGGGCGCTTCACCTACATTGCAAGTAGAGAAGGTGTGAGAGCAATCAGGGGCCCACCCAGGGGCCCACCCGGTCACCCGGACTCCAAATCAAGCTGTGGAGCTTGGCAAGTGTGCAGAGAAGAGAGAATGCCCACAGGAAGGTGTTTCAGGATGAAGCCGAGGAAAGCACGCTGGAGCTCCCAGAGCTCCCCAAGCCTTGGTTTCCCCATCAGTACAATGGATGCAGTCAGCTCACGGGGAACTTAGGAGGTGCTACAGTGTTCGCGTCACCATGTGCTCAGTGCTTGTTCCCTGGATGTCAGGAACTTCTTGCTTCTGGTAGAGCAGTGCATTATGCAGAAACTGGCAACCAGCAAAGGCTGCCCTTGACTTGAGTAGAAGCATAGTCCTTCCTCATTCCTGAGAGCCCAGACATGCCATCCCCGGACCTGTCCACACCCTCTCAGCATGGTGGGTCATTTTGCTGATCACTAAACAAAACAAATCTGAGAAAACTAAGCAAGGACACACACCAAACTGTTCATATGAACACACTAAGAAGGAAGGAGATGCTCAGGCAACTCTTACAGGCATCTGTTATTTAGCTCATTAGTGAGCCTATACTGATGTCACTATTTCAAGTTTAAAGAGGGAAAACTAAGAATCCTATGGAAACAACATATGGTGGTTGTACAGCTGCTTTTGCTCACATATCCAGACCACCTCAAGGAGCTGCACTCCCTTGCTTTGATATTTGAGAAGTAGAAATAAAGGAAGGTGTGCTGGGGGGCCGGAGATGTAGCTCAGTAGCAAAACACTTGCCTACAAGGTCCTGGATTCTATCCCAGCACCATAAAAAGAGAAGAAGGGAAGAGGGAAAGGAGATGGGGGGGGAGGTGTGGTGGGGAGGGAGATCATAAGGCAGTGCTTTGCCATAGCTGCCCAAAGCCTGGGGTGGGGGCAGATCAGGGAATGCGTCGGGGAGGAAGGAGGGCGTGGACACTCACTGTGGTAGATTAATATACTGGAGACGCCTGTGCCCAGGCCTGAGACCTGCCAGAGCCCCTGGGGCAAAGTGGGGAGTGTGGAGATGAACTGGATGGGTCCAGCAGGGAGAGTCACGCAGCTCACCAAGGACGCAGAGGGGTCCGCTGCAAGAGGCACAGAGGGAGGTGGGATCTTCACAGCCCCCGTTCTGGGATTCTGCTCGGTGATGGTGGGGTGGACATGCGACTCCCACACAGGGCTCTGATGCCCCAAGGGCAGCAGCCTATGGTGGTGTCCCCAGCACCCAGCAGGGTGGCTAGGACAGACGGGGGCTCCAGGAAGAGGTGAGGACAGAACACAGCCAGTGGGTGAGCTCTCCCGCGGTGATTCCCTCCTGGCCTCTGGGGTGGGGGTTCCTTCCCAGGCAGGGATGGGACTGGGCGGGATGGGACCCTGAGGATGACACTGACTAGGACTGAGTGACACCGAGGGGGTGTTGTGTGGCAGTCCCTGCCTAGCACCAACTCCCAGGAGGGTGGAAGCCTGGCCTCTCCAGGTCCCTGTACCTACCAGGCACCTTCACAGCTTCCTCCAGGCGGGTCTGGCCAGGGCCTGGCATCCGGTTGAACAGAGCGTGTGGTGGCTGGCAGGACAGTGGGGAGGAGCCGCTCGCCGGCCCCACCAGGAAGCTGCCAGTCACTATGGGCCCAGCGAGGGGCTCGGCTGTGGAGAAGACGACTGGATCAGAGGCCAGGAAGTCCTTCCCCGGCGGGCAGGGCTCCTGGCACGTCGAGGAAATGCCTGTCCCCTGCTGCAGCAGTTTGTGCAGGCCATGCCCAGCCGCTCTTCATGACCAGAGGCAGCCCCTGGGTCCTGCCAGGCAGCTGTGGGGCTGGAGCCGGAGCCACACCGTGTGCCCACCACCGTCAGAGGGGGAGGTTGCTGACGTCCTCCAGGGAGGGAGGGACAGATCAGCAACCCCCTGAGGGCCGGGCCCCTGCAGCAGGCCAGGTCTTCACCTAGGGAGCTCCTGCCTCTGCCGTCAGGTTGAGCTCACAGGACCCTGCTGGTCTTGGAGAGGAGCCTCTGCCAGGATGGGGCTCCCTGAGGACAGAGACCATTTCCCCACCACCCCGGGGTCCTCGAGGGCAAGATCCCTGTCCCTGTCATCACGGGACTTTCTGAGGACGGAGACTAAGCCTTCTCCCCCAGACTAGAAGCCAGTCTGTCCCCCACTCCTTTCTGGCTCCTGCCTTCTCCATAACAACTGGGGCAGGAGGAGAGGAGAGGAAGAGGAGCCCTTGGTAGGAGATGCTGAGTTAGGAGCAAGATGGGGTGGGTTTCAGTTCTGCACTGAAGAAGTTAAGGAGGCTGTTAGGGGAGAGGCTTATGGGAGGGGGGACTGAGTCTCCCAATATCCCTCACACAGCAGAGCATGGGCTTAGCTACTGGGGTCTTGGTTTGAGTCCCACGCCCCCTCACGCCAGCTGTGTGACCTTAGATAGGTGCCTTTACCCCTCTGAACCTCAGCTTTCAAGGCTGGTTTATGTGAGCACCTGAGGAGGCCCAGCTCGCCAGCCTTGGGGCCTCCCAGACCCACCTGCCCTGCTCACCTAACTTCCTGTGCTTCAGGTCCGTGGGATGCTCCTCTGGGAAGGCTGCAGAGAGAACGCTGTGGTCAGCGGCCCCAGGGAAAGGTGGCCCCGGCACAGAGCGGGGACAGTCGCAGAAAGCAGCAGGCACCCGAGAAGTTGGGAAGGACACTGAAGGCCCCATTCCCATGCCTTCCTCTAACCGTGCTGCCTCTAACTCCTCTTCCGCTTGAGCATGAAAGACAACAACCAGTCCCTCCCCAGCACGTGCCTGTGTGACACAGCCCTCGGCCCTCCTCCGAGAATCGGGGTAGAGGTGCCCCTGATCGGTACTCCCCGGATTTGTGCTCCCAAAATGGTGGGGGTACACTGGGAATCAGCGAGCGCCTCGCACATCAAGCATGAGAGCAAGGGGCCAGCTGATGTCTCCTGTTCAGGGGCCCGGAAAGAAGACAGGACGCTGAAGGGCACTCAGGGCAGCGTGCGGGGCCCCGCAATCTACTTGGCCTCATACCAGAAGTAGTGGATGTGGACGGACAGTGGGAGGACGGGCAAGTAGAGAGCAGAGAGCTTGTGAGACAACACAGCCCAGGGTTGTTGAACCGGCTTTCGCGGTGTGATTTCCTCACCTTATTGTATATTGAAATGTTTCATAATAAAATATGGGGAAGATATTAACTGGATAAAAATGGAAAGAAAGAAAGAAAGAGCGGGATGGAGGGAAGAAGGAAGTAGGGAAAGAAAAGAGAGGCGAGAAAGGAAAGAAAGAAAAAAGCAACTAGGAAAAGAAGGGAGGGAGGGGAGGGGAGAGAGAGAAAGGAAGGAAACGGAAGGGAAGCGAGGAAGAGAAGGGAGGTCAGGAGATGAGGAAAGCCGGACATTCCAGGTCTTGTAGGCAGCACTGTGTGGTAACTGGAGGGTCAGCAAGGCCTGGTCCGCATTTACAGGCTCCTGTCAGTTGCCGTGTGAGCCCGGACCAAAGAGGCAGAGATACCGGGTAGGAGGCTCAGAGAGGTGCAGGAACCTGGCCAAGGTCACACAGACCATAGGTAACAGATCCAGGATTCTAACCGAGTTCTCGCTGAGGCTAGGACATGTGTTTGAAAAGACCTCCTTCAGTTACCAGGATGACCATGCAGGGTAGAAGAGAAGCCAGAATGAAAGGTCATTTCAGAAACGGTAATCAAACGAGGCAGGGGCAGAACCTCACCAGGAGAGTGATCATCTTCTCCTGGGCTGTCTCTTTCCTCCCTGGGTCACCAGTAAGCAGCAGCGAGGGAGAGGCAGTAGGGACCCCAAGGCCAGGAGAGGTGGGCAGAACTTAACAAGGGAAGCAGCTGGGAGCCACAGCAGGCTTTGGAGCCCAGAAAGGACCAGGCCAGACCGGTCAGGGAGGGCTTACTCACATCTTTTCTGACTTCTCTGCCCCATTTCCTCCAGCACCTCCACACTCTCATTGGTCACTTCTTCCAGTCCTATGTGCTCTACTTTGGAGAAAGACCAGAGACCAATTCACAATCAGAGGTGGCCCCAGGCAGGCCGGGGTTGTTCCTACTGGGGAAAGGAGGGTGCTCCAAGGACAAGGGAGGGGGCGCAGGCTGAACCCCACCCCAAACTTACTGAAAATGTCCTTGCTCGGGTCCTCCAGCTGGGCATCCTGGAACACGTACTGGTCCAGTTCCGCTGAGAAGTCAAGGAAAAGCACAGTCGGCGAGGGCTTGGTGAAGGCCCACCTGGGTCTTGGGCTGAGCCCAGCACAAAGTGTTGCTGACTGCACACATGAGCAAATGAAGAAATGAACGCTGCCTCTTTATGGGCTTTGAGCGTAACGGAAGCTAATGGGAGGGGGGAGGGGTCGTGTCCGCAAAAACTTCCTACTCCCTCAAGCAGCAGCGAGGCAAAGCAGTAGAGCGGTCTTGGGCTTGAGTTCAGATTCTACTTCTATTCTCCACTCCTAGCTGGGCAGCCTTGGATCAGTTACTCACCCTCTCAGGGCCCCCAAGTCAATAACCTGTGTAAGGAAAACAAATAATGCCTACTACTCAGGGATGGTCGGCTATGACTAGAAGCTCCACAGTTAAAGCAGTCAGTGCAGTGGCCAGTACCTAGTGGACACTCCGTAATGTGGTCAATCATATGAAAGGACACACAACCTGGAGCCAGTGTAAAAAGAGCTGTCGTGGCAGAAAGCCAGACGGAAGAGTGTAGCATGGGGTGGGGCAGTCAGAAAGGGGCTCCCAAAGGGGCCTGGGAGCCAGGCCGGGAGAGAGGGGACAGATAGCTTTCTGGGTGGTAGGGACAGAATGAGCAAAGATGTTCGGGTTATGAAGCCTCGGTGACCACCAGGAGTTTCACGTTGGGGAGGCTAGTGCTTGGTTTTATGGAAAGCAGCAGGGAGCCACAGAAGACTAGTGAGCTGAGGGCTGATGGCGGTACCCAGTACCTACAGAGGGTTTGCTCCGCGCAAACTCCCTCGCTAAGTGCTTACCCATAATCCTCAACCGTCCACAGATAGCTGGGCCTGTGAACCCCACTGCGCATGTACGGAAGCTGAGCTAGTCACGTGTCAGGGCGGCGCAGCAATTGCTCACCAGAGCGGGCTTGACTTTCTAGAGCTTGGGAGGAACCCAAGGACTTGAGGAACAGTTTGGGTAAGGTATTCTCTCAATAGCTCAGCAGCGGGGAGTGGGGAAGCCCCCAGATCCTAAGCGTGCTTAGATCCTCAATTACTGCCTCCAGCTGTGAGGAAACGTGACCGCTCTAAATGTTTTGGTTTTCCCCAAGTAAATTCCCAGCAAGGGAAGGAGCCAGGTGATCTCTTGGTTCTGCAATTTTTGAGACACACATAGTTAGTGCTCCTTTCCATTTCTGCCCTTGACGGATGTCGGATTAACTCTACTTGGGAAAACTTAGCTACATTCATGCCAAGCATAAAGCTAAGCAACATGGATCCCAGGACGCCAGGAAAAGGGCCTTAAGAACAGTTGTGCACGTTATTGATCCCAGTGGGGAAGAACAGCCCATTCCCTCTCCTCAGGAGTCAACAGCAGCAATACGATTACTGTCATTTAGAAATGAGAAGAAAGGAGCTAAAGGTGTAGGGAAGGTGGGATGGGTAGGGGAAGGGTAATAAGGGAAGAGAAAAAAATGTGAGATAATGAAAAGATGAAAATAAAGTGTTTGTAGATGGGGAGGGGAGGAGGGGGTGAAGGGAGGGCAGGGGTAAGGGGAAAAAATGAGAATCAAAACTTGTCATGTAGAGGTACAAGATCCCAACAGTGAATGTAACTGTACTGTATCCCTAAAATGTACCAATAAACTCAATTAAAGCTGAAAAAAAAAAAGAGTCAACAGCAGCAGCAGCAGCAGCAGCACTATAACAACACCTCTTCCCAAAGAGCTCTGCCTTGTCTGAAATCTGTGCCCCTTTTCAAAGCTGCACGCAAAGCCTTCACAAATCTCCCAACCTCCGCCACTTTCCTTCTCATGTAGACTTTGGGTTGGGGATCTAGCTCTGTAGCAGAGCACTTGCCTAGCACGCACAAGGCTCTGAGTCCAATACACAGCACTAAAAAAGAGAGAAAAAGGGGGAGAGGTTTTGAAATGAGGGAGAGCTGGGTTCGAATTTCAGACCTGCCCCTTACCATCTCTAATGATTCACCTCTCTAAGCCTCGGTTTCCTCATCTGTAAAAAAGATTTGGGTACTACGGGCTTCCTTTGTTGTCCAAAGCAGTCAGTGCGAGAATGCACTGCAGCAGCGAACACGCTAGGAGCAACTAATAGATGCCAAGTATTGTGAACACCAGAGCAGTTTGTCTTAGGAGCTGGGGAAGAAGAGAGAGGGAATGTATGGTGTGGGCTTTGTGGGAAGGCAAGAAAGAAGAGCAAGGGACAGAAAAAAGGTGTGGCAATGGAGGCAGAGGGACCAAAAAGAGATTCCTAGTGTTCACTAGTGAAGGGCCTGTTTCCCTGATTCCCATCTTACTCAGAGGCGCTATTCTTCTTGGCTAGCCTCACATCCCCTTTGCAGTGGTTTCTGTAGGACAGGCCTGCTGTGGTTCACGGTGAATGGGTGAGGACAACAAAGGAGAGCCGAGAGCCCTTGCCCTCAGCTCTGTTCCCGTGCTCAGGACGCGTCCTCACCGATGTTGGCGTACGCCTCTCTGGTCTCTTCATCTCCCTCTATGTCACACAGCAGCCTGCTGAACTGGTCACAGTTGATGGTGTCCATGTCGGGTTCTGGGAGGAAATGTCCCTTGTATGAAGCAGGAAAGTTCTGGGAAGAGGGCTGATGGGAAGGAGGGAGAGGCCGGAGGGGCTGGGAGACACCCTGGCTAGGAGGGCAGCAAGGCCCAGGCTCGGGAGCTGTCCGCGGTGCTGACCGGATTTGCTTGCGGCCCTCTGCGGGTGGGGAGGGAGGGGAGCCCACCTGAGCAGAGCTCGATCTCTTCCTCTCCTGCCAAGTCCATCTGGTCATAGAAGTGGTAGAGGTGCAAGGGGTCAACGTCGCTGTTAAGAAGCTCCAAGTAGCTGCCTTCCAGGGGCCCCAGCTCCATGGCAGCACGCTGCCCACTGCCTGGAAGGGGAGACAGGCCCAAGCGTCTTCCCTTGGGAAGCTGGGAAGGGCAGAGATTAACACAGTAGCTCCTGGGGTTAGGGGGACCCAAGGGATGAGAACAAAGGAGTTTGCTCAGCTTCCCCACCATTAGGTCTGGAGAATGAAGCCTGCCTTACAGGACCACTGAAGGCCAAGGGTGGCTGTGTGTGGTGTGCAGCCTCACAGGAGGCCCATAATAAAAGGAAGCTTGTTAGTTTGGGGGCATCGGAGCTGGGACCTCAGGCCCCCTAACTAGACCTCTCTACAATGTAGAGTTGCCTCCCATCCATACCAAGATCAACTTGGATCTTGCCTGAGCCAAACTTCGGTTTCTACTCATGCTTAGGAAGGGTTTCAAAGGGGCCTCATCTGGACTCTTTCCCGACCTGTAGCTCCAGAGGGAGCTGGTGCAGAGAGGTCTCCAATCACCCCCACTGCAGCTGCCCCAGCCCCGGGCAGAGAGCACAAGCCGAGGCCCTGTGGGGGCAGGGACCTGTCCATTTGGCTCAATGACCCCTGGGCTCCGGGGTGTTCCTGTACATGGCACAATCACTCCACCCATCAAGATGACAAATAACCAGAATTCACAGGTGCCCACTGAGTTCCGTGTGCCAATGACATGACGGTTTGGTCTGACTCCTACATAGCTCTCTGCATTCCTATTTGTCAGGCTTGGAGAGACAAGAGGTGAGTGAGGCCTGGAATCAACTGTCTGGCTGCACAGCCTCCACTTCTTCTGTCTCTTTGACTGGCTTGAGAGAGGGTGTGGGTAGCGAGACAATTTCCCGTTTGGGGGAGCTATCTGGGGTGTGCCAGAGGAGCGGCCAGTGTCTTTCTGCTAGACGCGCAGTATTTTGAGAAGGTCCTCTTCAAAACCACCCTTCCCCCTAGGTCCCCACCTTCCACGTCCAACTCAAGAAAACATTCCCAACCTTTTTGTAACCAAGGATCCCTGTGGGGGGTGCACTTCTATCCCAACCTCACACTGCGCCACAGGTTTTGACGGACTGTGTTACTAACTTGGTTTCTACAACACAAATTCATCTCCGCCTCCCTTGAGGGAGCTCAGATGTTCCAACTCAGACTCAAGCAACTCACTGTGTTCACACGGGGCTCTTCTGTGCCTCAGTGCAACAGCCCCCCTCCTCAAGCTGGGGGCTCTGCATTCACTATCTTATTTCAGTTGTCCCAGTAACTCTGAGAGACTTTCATTGTTTCACCTATTGTACAGAGGATGGCTCTGAAGCTAGGTTTGGTTGACCAGATGCTTTCTTCACAGAAAATTGATCTAACGCGGAAATGTTAGGGAAAAGAAGATCTCGGCTACCCCTAAATCTCCCAGCACCGCTCTCTCTGAGCATGAGAAGTACATTCCCCCGCTTGTTGACCATAAACTTGTCCTGATGAATTAATGGAAAAGCTCTGAACTTCGTGTCCAGAGATGTGTTTGGGTCACAGTTCTGCCTGTGATTCTGAGCACATTTCTTTACCCCTCTGAGCCTCATTTTCACCAACTGGGCCAAGAGCCCATTTAGCTAAGGAACTTGGGGGTTCTGATTCCTCACTGCTTTCAGTCTTTCTCTTTTCCTTCCCTCCAGAACCTCCTTCGTGTCACTACTGTTCTCCCCAACCTAATGACAAGACGCTTCTAGATGCCAAATGGGGATGGGAAGCCGGGGGCCCAGGGATGCTTATCTCCCATGGCCAACCCCTAAGCAGCATCTCCAGGGGGACAAGCCACTCTAGACAACAATGTGGCATCATTTCAAACACCTGAGGAAGCTGGCCCTGGTGGCACATGCCTATATTACCGGCACTTGGGAAGGTGAAGCAAGAGGATTGTCATGAGTTCAAGTCTGAGACCAGCCTGAATAACACGGCAAGACCCTGTCTCTAAAAGCAACAAAACAAAAGAAAACACCCGAGAATGAGCTAAGTGCCCTGGCACACACTGGTAATTGCAGCTACTCAGGAGGCTGAGGGAGGAGGTCCTGAGTTTAAGCCCAGCCTGGGCAACTTAGTGAGACCCTGTCTCAAAATAAAAAGGGCTGGGGATGTAGCTTGGTGTGAAGGGCCTGGGTTCACTTCCCAGTACCATGAAATCAAACCAAATAAAAGAAAACACAACTCCAAGGATGCACAGACCCTCTGACCCAGAAACTGAGTACGTCCCAAAGAAATGGCCTCCCAGCTCCTCACGGGATCCATCTGAAGAATCTTGCTGCTGCGCTAACTGTGCTGACAGGGAGCCAGAAGCCACATTCATATCCTCCACTGGGGGCAGGCAGATGACTGCATTCTGTGACTGGAAGCAGAGACCAAACACAGCACTTGTCAATCTGAGCAACATCATACAGAATGGGAAGGAAAGAGCAGGGTAAGCTCTGGTAGAACCATTCCAGATGTGCCCAGTCACAGCTGGATGCAGAAAGGCAACAAGTATGTTATAAGATCACACACAAACAAAAGGCTACATCTTAAATGCATTAGAATGGGGGCCCAGAGAGGGGGAAAGTGGAAGGAAGAAGGGGAAATGAGAGAAAAGAAGCCCGTTCTGTGAATCCAAGATTGCAGTGTGCCATGAACTGAGATGTACAATTAACCCAGCTACTCAGGAGGCTGAGGCAGGAGGGTCACTTTAGCTAGGGATATAGCTCAGTGATAGAGCACTTGTCTAGCACATGTGAGGTCCTGAGTTTCATCCCCTTGGCCGCAAAAACAAATAAATGAACAAAAAATGTACAAGGCAATTTGGTACATGAAAATAATAATAATACTTTTTAAAACAGGAACAGACCCTGCGGACCAGGAGACGGGCAGGAAGGAGGGAGCTTCCAAGGAGGAAGCCCACCTCTCTGGAACCAGGCCTGCCACTGTGTGTGTCCACGAGCAGGAGACAGAGCACCACTGGAGACTGTTGCCCTCACTCATGACTTTCACCCCCTGCAGGGGTTTGAGGCAGTAATGTGGCATGGAGGAGAAACTAAGGCACATGGGAATGGGCTTGGAAGGAAATTGGAGGTTTTGGTCATTTCTCAAGGCAGGGAAATTGGAAGATTGTGTGTGTGTGTGCGCGCACGGCCATCACAAGGCCTCTGTGTAGAGAATGTACTGATTGTTGCCAGCAGCCCTGCTGCTCCCTCCTGCCTTCCGCCAAGCCATATTTCACACAACTGTGTCCCCCTTGGCACCGGGGTTTGCAGCCCTTGTGTGAAGCTCCTAAGGCCTCTAACTCTCACTGTTGACAGATGCTGGCTTGGGATGAGGGCTGATGGGCCAGAAGGCCGGGCACCACCCCTCCTGTCCTGCACTGGGGCTGAGGAGCACAGGAGGGGCTTGGAAGGCTGCCTGGAACCCCCAAACCGGCCACCTCCTGGGGGTCGAGCAGGCGCCCAGGAGTTGCAGCTTGCAGAGTTCTTGATGTGCCCCCAGCTCGGCCGCCAGCTCAGACTGAAGGTGACAAGGGGCACAGCTGTCCAGGAGCGACGGTTGCAGAGAGCTCTTTCCCAGGACACAGCCCTCTACGCAGCCTCTGTCCCCATCTGGCTTCTGATAGCCGTGAGTCTCAGCATTTCCAGTGCAGCCCCAGCCCTCAGAGTAACCAACACTCTGCAGAGAACGAAACCACCAAAGCAGGAAAGCTGGAAATAGAAGCAAGCTTGGCTCCAGGCCCTGGCCATCATCCACAGAGCTTCTCCAAAGTTGGAGGCAGGGCAACAGAGGCAGGCGTGGCCCAGCCACAGGGACAGGTGGATTCACAACTAGCTGGGTGCGGGGGGACAGGATCAACTTCACTAGCCCTGAGTCTTGAGCTTGTACCTTGCTCTGCTCTGACAGGCTGTGTGACTCTGGGCAAGTGTCTTCCCCTTTCTGGTCCCTATAGATCTCATCTGCTCAATAAGAGGTTTGTATGAGAACAGTGGCTTTCAAGTGAAATTCTACAAGTATCCCAGACCCCTCAATGCGGGGAAGACACAGCTGTTCAGTTAAAGGGCACCGAGGGGCTCAGAACCTCTTTTCTCCAAAAGGGGCTTTACAGAATGCAGCTTAAAATACAACTGCACTAAGCAAAAGAAGCCTCTCAGACAGGCTGCATAGTGTATGGCTCCAACCACGTCTGTCTAGAAAAGCCAAAAGCATGGAGACAAAAGTTCAGTGGTTGCCAAAGGTCAGGGGAGAGAGGAAGGGACGAGGAGGAGATTAGGAGATTTATGGGGCCCCAATACTGCTCTGCGCGGTACTCCAATTCTGGGTACAGGCAGCAGTGCCCTTGTCCCACGCATGGAATATTCAGCTCCCAGAGTGACCCCAACACGATCTGTGGGCTGCAGGTGATAGCACTGGGGCCGAGGATGCTGATGGGGAGGGGGTGCATGTGTGAACACGAGCATGTACAGGAAATCTGTGTCTTCTGCACACCACTGCTGTGAACCTAAAACTACTCTTAAAAATTATGCTTGCTGGAAGTGGTGGCACCCGCCTGTAATCTCAGCTACTCGGGAGGCTGAGGCAGAAGGATCACAAGTTCAAGGCCAGCCTGGGCAACTTAGTGAGAGCGTGTCTCAAAATAAAAATGTCAGGCTTGGGATATCGCTCAGTGGTAGGGCACCCCCGGGTTCAATGCCCAGAACCTCAAAAATAAATGAGTAAATAACCCCCAACTCCACGTGGTGACAGTTTCCCCCCACCCTCTGGAGCTGCTCTGACTCAAACATTTCAACTTGTGTTGTGAATGCTGCTGTGCTACCCAGATCAGCCCTTGGTGACTGCTGGAGGGCTAACAGCTCACAGCGGATGGGGCCATCTCCCTGGGAACATCCCCCCAAGGCCACAACCCCCCTCCAAATGCTTTGGTTGGTTGCCTTTCTAAGAAAACACATGTTGGAAACTTAACTCTCAAAACCATGTGTCAAAGGCATTTGAAGGTTGGTATTAGAGGGGTGATTAGGACTAGATGGGTCACCAGGATGGGGGTGTAT